AAAAATTAATATTCAGAGCTATTTTCCAATGGAGAAAATATTTAAAATATAGTACCTATTTAAAGAAGTTAGTAAAGTTGCAATATTTTCTCTTGAAGATATTTCAAAATAATATATCTAACCAAATTACGATGATGCTTGAAATATAATTTGTCATACTATGTGAAACAACAATGGAATGGTTTTATTAGTTTTCTACATTTCTTTTGATAAACCCTGGAAGATTTTACCGGAAAAAATTAAGTTTTATCAACTGTCCCCTCCAACGGTTTTCAGAAATTTCTTTTTTGTTCAAAAAACAGTAATCCAGTAAAAATTTTCCTGTTTTATTTGTTGATTCAGTGGAAGAAGATGTTACAATTTAAAAAAAAGTCTCAAGGATTGTTTTTTCTGATAGTTTTAGATTTTCCCGTGATTTAAAAATTAGAAATACATCTTTGAATAGGAAATGTTCAATTTGACATAGCCATTAAAATGGAGTTACTCATAGTCAAATTTAGAAATTTGGTTTTCAGAACCAGATGACATTTTCAAGGCTTTCAATCACACTCATTGGTTTATTCTTTAAGAAATATTCAGTTTGCATCAAAGAGAATAACTGAACCACAATTTCTGAGCGTTCAGATACAAATTAAACTATTCATAATTCATCACATTCAAAAGTTGATAACAGTTCGCCGCGTTTCTTCTGAACTTAGTCACACCTTTCTCATGGTTTCACCAGTCTTCATAGGAAAACTTCAGCTTGAGGCATAATAGAAAGTTCCTTATATATATATACATTATACAGTATTTTCTCACATAATCTTTGAAATCACAGCATTTTTAACAACCCTCTTTGGCAGTTGGATTTCTCTCAACCAAAACTATATAGTGATTTTTTTCAGCTATAAAAGTATACTAAGTCATACTTAAAAAATATTTGTGATTATTAGCAAACCAAAATGGTGCTGGTAACCTTGATTATGTTCCCTTGTATTTCCAGATCTTTCTCACCAATTTTCATGTTTAAAAGAGGACATTCCAGGTACTTTCTACAAAAATAGGAAGTTTAATTTCATGCATTTTTGGGGTCTGAAAAATTTGAAAATCCTTTCTGAAAAATTTTCCACCCTTTCTCAAGCGTTGTCAGGAAAATTTTTGAAATGAAAAAGAGTTTATAATAGGCTATTACTTGTTTTTATTATATACAGTATTTGAAGCCTTGCCATGCATTTTTATAGCTTGGAAACCTTTGAAAATAATGTTATTGACAATCTGAAAAGTTGGTAACCATGTGGTCTTGCTTTACCTCTATTTTATCCACACCTTTGTCACGATTTCCCAAGTTTAACATAGGTTATGACAATGAAAAGCTCCATTTACAGGTTATTGTATATTTTCTTTTTACTTATATTCTGGAAATAAGAGTTGGAAACCCTTTGAAAACCATTTTTTTAATGTTTGGATATTCAAGAAAAGGGGATATTTATGGTCTTTCCACCTCAGAGTTTCTTTCCACACCTCCCTCTTGAAAACTCGAGTTTACAATAAAGGGATTTGTCTAGAGATTACTTGATTTGACAATGAAAAGTTCAATTCAGGTTGCTGAGTACTGATGTTGCTCCTGGTTTATAGCCTGGCAATAAAATGCTCAGAGCTTTAGAACCCCTTTCCATAAAAGAATACATGATTTATGATTGCCAAACAGTTGTGTCTTATTTCCTCTGAATCTTTTGTTTCTCATCACACCTTTCAGAAGGTATGAAAAAGAAGGCTTTTCTATATATTAATACTCAATACAGCAAATAAAGAGAATCTGTATATAGGTTATCGCCTATACATAAAAAATTTTTTTTATTCTTTCGGTTGGCAATAAAATGCTCAGAGCTTGGAAACCCTGAAACGGGCCATGCTAGCCTCAGGCCAGCACCACACCTCAGCCAGAACTTATTCATTCCACGAATGAATAAAAAAAAAAAGGAAGAAAAAAATGAGAATTCAAAAGCACAACACATGTTCTCCCAGCACACCTGCTCCACCACCAGCACCAGCAGCAGCCAGGATAAAAACTGGGTCAGGTCATCTTTATATTCTCCCCCAGGAGAAAACAATCTCCTCTCAAAACCAGCCAAATGCACAATCTCAGCCTGCTTTCCATAAAAACCTCTAGGAAACAAATCCTTGTATAGAAAGTCCAATCTAAGCTTTCCAACAATAACAAAAAGAAAGAAAGAGGGAGAGAGAGGGGGAAATAATTATCAAAAAGAGGGCTCAGAAGGTTTGATTCAAGTGCTGAGCCAGATTTTTGAGCTGTTTGCTTATTTGGTACTGTTCTGTTATAGGACCACCTGCTGGTGCTAACACTTGATTCATCTTGACTATTGTATCAATTACTCAAATTTAATAATTCTACGATTTCAAGCTCAATGTTTGAAAAAAATTTCAAGAGTGCATAATAAGAATTGACTCTGATTTTAAACAATAACATCTTTCTAACCCCCAAATCAAACCTCATTAAATTCTCCAAAAAAGTATGCACCATTGTTTGTACTACTGAATGCATTATCAGAATGATCCATGGAAGTTTTCAAAATATTGAAGAACAATTATTAAGACTATTGCATCATTTACACAACTTTAATGATGTCACTAAACTCCCAGGTAATAAAACAATTTAAATATTGCATACTCAGAATTGAGCCCATTTTAAAGCAAGAACATAGAAAATTGACCCTAATTAAATTCTCAAACAAATTATGGTCAATTTTGTGCTCTGAATGCACTGCCAAAATAAGACATGAATAGGTTTACAAAATCTTGTAATTTGCTGCAATGCCCAAAGTTAGCAGTTGGTCTTTGAAATATTTTTATGAGTGTTGATGGGTTCATGGAATGATTTTCTTGTGGCTAAGTACTGTACCTTTGAATTACATACAGTACTTTGAAATATTATGAAGACAGTTTTTAACCTTGGCCAGTCATAGTTTTCTCTGGCCAGTCGCATACTAAAGCAGTGCTGATATGCGTGATACCATGAATTTACTTCAAAAAATGTGAAAGCTTTTCCAACATATTTCTAAAGCCAGGAGTAAGAGTATAAGCATTGGTTAGAATGAGGATGATTGTCCTAGTTCTGCACACCCTCAAGCATAATATGAAATATTCTCAACAGGTGCAAATTTATAAATTGTTGATCCAAGTTATTGGTAGGGGGTTTCTATAGTTGTATGCAATATGCATTTTTTTAGTACTTAGCCTTTTTTTAAACATGAAAAATAATTTAATTTCAACTTAGGTCCACCTTGGTTAGTCACAGGCTTTCTGTGGTCAGGAGAGTACAATTTTACTTTGGTAACATGGTCAGCCACATATGGAACAGTACTGAAAATTTGAGTGCGTAGCAGATTGCTACAAAGTTTCTCTCAACCCCTTGGAATATATGCTTCTTCAACCTTTCTATATAGAGCCAGGAATGAGAAAGAGAAAATTGTTGTGAAGCAGGTGACAGATTTCATGGTTGGCCAAGCATGCTCTCAATAATACAGGCCCAGTTTTCTCTCTCTTCCATCTCATCCATTGTGTTTCCTTCCCAAATCGCAGTTTAAGTTTCCAGTAACACACTTCTTTCTTTATCAGAAAAAAAAACCAAAACAAAAATTCCCCCCTTTTTTGGCCTGTCTTCATGCTGTGATTCATCTTTGCTCATGGAACAATGGCTTCACTTTCTGAAGGGAAATTTCTGTGTTTCTTATATACTCATCACTTGATGATGATGATAGTTTGTTGAAAGCCACTGGACTGGAACTTTTTATACTGGTGTTTTGCTGCAGAAGGAGTTACTTGAACAATTGGTCAAGCTTCTGGTCAGTTCTGCCTGCTGAAGCAACATTTCCACAATTTTTTTCCCCTCAATGAAAAAACAGGGTGACACGAAATATCACCCCTGAAGCGTGCAAATGTTCCCATTGTGGCAGAATTACGTCATAGGATTTGGAAACTGTCTTTTTTGTTGTTGTTGTTGTTGCAATTACCTCAAAGAAAACCATTGGACCAAATCATGATGAATGAGTCATTTTGAAAGTTCAGAAAAAACAATCAGAAAATGAGATCATGTGGTGGGTGAAATGAAGAGAGTCCTTGAAAGTTGTCTTGAAGACAGAGACAGAGAGGGAGTAGTAATAAAATAAAAGAAGTGGAAGGAAGATTAGACAATGCATGATTCCCACAAACTGTCAACAATAAGGTCAGTGGCATCAGGTCCCACAAGAAAGTAACATGAATGAATGGACCAGATGCTGGAGATGATCATCACAAGCTTTCCCTTTTTTCCTCACCCTAAAAAACCTCACTCTTATTCCCATGAAAAACGTTTCTTATTTCTGACAAAACTCCAGAATTAAATAAACTCAATCAGCAAACATTTGTCATGCTCAAAATGCAAGACATTGACCATGAATGAAGCAAAAATGAAATGGCAGATTTCGGTTTCACTACCTGCGACCATCAATTAACCTCATTTCTCCACCTGAAGGACCAACTCATCACTTGGAAAAATAAATCCCTGTGGTTTTTTTTCCACAGTGGCTTGTGCAGAAACCCCTCAATTAAGGCCAAAATTGTCCCTTGAGTATAAAAAAATACACACCCACTTGAGCAATGAACAATAGGAAATTCCCCAGTTTCCTGGGCAATAAAATCCCTCAATAACAAAAGAAAAATCACTTTCACAACCCCCCCCCCACCCTCCACTAATCAAGTCCATTTCACAGGAGGGGAAGAAAATTCCTGAGAAAGTGTTTTTCATTCATATAACCCGCAAAAACATGCCAATTAAGCCCTCCCCTCTCACAATAACTAATGTTTGTCTCATCCCATCAACTTTCATCAGCAATCAGCAGCAGCCTGGGGGAGAGAAAAAAAAACAAAAGTGCATGGAAACAAGGACAATTGACACTCACTTCATTGATCTGCATTTTTTTTATTACTTTTCAGGTCAAGAAAAGAAGGGAGAAATGAGAATGATTGGAGTGTCCTTGGTAGTGTTGTGTTTTATGCTGCAACTTGGGAATACTGCTGAACACTGGCCCAACTACTGGAGCCCAATAGATGGCGTTGATGTGGAAATGGTTGATGATGGCAGATCAGCTGTCCCTGCACCACGTGTTTTTGATGATGCTGTTGTGGGCAGGCGACAGTTGTACTTGGACCCTAAACCACCCCTAAGTAAATAAAGGATACACTTTTGAAAAATAATTTTCATCCTCTCAAAATTTTAATATCCTGAGCTTTAAAAAGACTCATTCTTCTTCTTCTGAAATATCACAGCTGTTCAACACTTGGAAATGTCTGGCTTTGAAGCTAGTCCACCAGATGCCAAAGGGACAGTGTTGAATGATGAGACTCTAGTGAGCAGTTGGGTGCCCATTGAACCCAATCCCATGAAAGGGGAACCTTTACATGAATACAAGCCACCAGCCTTGAAGACAGTCAAGTTGGACAAGTTTGCCCAAGAGGAAGAAGACAGTGTTGGGACTGCTTCCATTATTCCCAGGCCTTTGGGGGACCAGGCTCCTTTTTTACTGGCCTCTGCTGGGCTCTTGGACTCTATGCATGCTGCTGATTCCAGGTACAATAAAATGTCTCAGACTCTGAAGTAAAAAAAAAACACGGTCAATACATTGGCAAGAAAATTTAAATTTTATGTGCACACTCCTGTATTGCTCCCCATACTGCCTTTTCTTATTTTAGGGTCATTTGATAATAAGTGCTCTCTTAAACAAAAATCATGCCAAAAAGATTCTCTATTTCTGTATTCAAAGATTGGCCAACAGAGACACATTTTATATATGATACTTAAAATCCTTTCCCCAAAAGAATCCCTTCCAAAAGGTTTCATTGCATTGTCATTTCTTCTAAAACATAATATGCAACATTCATATGAGTTGGATTATTGATAGGAACCTTGACAATTGAGATACTGTCAGATTGTCATGCATTCTTTGGAAATTTTTAACCTTAAAACAATTTTCAAGGGTCAAGTCACAAAGTAGAAAAGAGTTGTCATGGTTGGACACATACTGGAACAGCACCATTTCATGTTTGGGTGAACTGTGTTCTTCATGGTTTGGAAAGTTGTTTGTATCCTTGCTATTCTTCTTTACAAATTCTGTTGCTTGAGATTTCAAGGAGTAATTCTTAAAGCTTTATGGTGTGTGTGTTTTTAAAAGAGACCATGAGTTGAAATTAATGGAAATAGGAATTGGCTAGTTTTTTTATTAAACCTTTCTTTTTGACAGAGAACAAACAGAGCCTGTAATATTTGATGACAGACACCCATATTATGGAGCTGGAAGGATAAAGCTGGACTCAACCCTAAAGGACCGCTTACCAACCTTCACCAACTCCCAGGAGACCCTGTACAACCCTAACCCATCCCTGCGCAGAACCACCATCCTGCCATCAATCACAGACCAAGAGACCATTTCACAGGACCCTGTTGAGACCACTACATCCAGACTAATTTATCAAAGCCCACCACCAAGACCCAAGACCACTAGTCCAACTACCAAGACAACAGAGGATGAGTCTCTTCTGTCTTTCTTGCAAAATTGGCTCCAGGGGCAACCACAGCAGGAGACAACCAAGACTAGTGTGCCAACAACAACTTCAGCTACCACAACAACCACAACCCCCACCACCACCACCACCACACCCACTACCACAACCATCACCACCACTTTCACCACCGCAAAGAAGAGGATGGAGGAGGCACAGGTCACTACCACTAGTGTGCCAGAACCTGTTACAGAGGTTCAAGTGGCCACTGATAAGGTTGAGCAGAGAAACAGGTGTGCTACTGTAGACATATGTACTGCTTGGTACACTTTTTGACAATGTTTTGACAACATTTTGCTCTTTCCAAAATGAAGGTTCCAGCCTCATGCATCTGTGAGACCTCTCAGGTTCCCAACAGAAAAGCCTTCCAGAAGACCTTCTCTAAGCACCATTGAAGAACTTTCCAAAGCTGTTCAACCCTTGGTCTCCTCAGTGCCTTTTGTCATAGTCCAGGGTCACTCCAAAGTGAAAATGTATGGCATGAACACACTAGAGGGCGATTCTTCAAAAAAGCATACCCCTGGAAGCAAAACTGATTTGGAGGACAAACAGAAAGCAAAAGAAGAGGATGAGGCAGAGGAAAAAGTGAATGCATCAACAGAGAGTGAGGCTGGTGTGGTGAGACCTATTGCAACCAAGAAACCCAAACCTGCAAAACCCAGTGAAGTAAGGTTCCCTGAAGAACAGGAGGAGAAAGAAGTGAAAAAAGTGCGCAAAGGGCCAAAGAGACCCAATGACCAAGGTTTGTAATACTGGATTTACTTTCTACCACCCTTTTTAAAAACAGTGTTACTGAGCCATTTAAATATTTCAAGTTCAATTAATTATTCCAATTCATGTTTCTGGGCATTAACATAAACAATGTGAAAAGGCTAAATTCATAGTTGCATGTGTGCTTATTGTGAACCATACACAAACCACTATTGAAAACAGTTATTCTCTATAACAATGTTTCCCAACTCATGGTTCATGGACTTGCAGCTGGTCCATGGGAAATTTTCTCAAGCATAATAAATTATCAAAACTATCATTGGAGGACATTATGGTGTCTTTTATTTTCAAATTTTTCAAAGCAATTGCAGTTGAAATTATCTCATAAACATTTTTAAAGGCGGCTTCTCTCCTAAAACACTTCAGACAAAATTTCACCTGATGAAATGAATGATTTCAATTTTCCATTCAGAGACATTTTTGTTCAAGCCTATATTTATAATTTTTGAATACATTCCACTATACCAGCTTCATTGGTTCTCAACTTATTACTTTTTAGCAAAAAAGGAGAAACTTTTCCCATACCTGCCATGACGTTTTTCAGGTAAAAGATTTTTGTGAGAGTAAAAATTTCAGAACACTTTTCCAGTCCACAGAACATTTTTTGAAAATTTGCTGGTCTGCTAAACATTTTATGGAAATTTGCCTGTCTGTGGGTTCAAAAAGGTTGGGGAACACTGCTGTACAAATTTTCCTTTCACAAATTGAATTATGAGAGAGAGATTTCTACTATAATTACCATCCCTTATGGTCAAGTAGGCCAAGTATGCAAATGTATCACGTATTATCAGTGGTTGGGATCACTTTCAAGTGCTTTAAAATTTAAAAAAAAATTCTGTACACAGGACAATCACAGCAAAAGCAGCAGCAGCAACAACAACAACAGCAGCAACAATCAAAGAAGCCACCACCAGCACAAGGCAGACCAACAAGACCAGTGTTCTTCACCAAGAGGAACCCAGGTGGGGCCCAACTGACCCACAGTAACCCATTTGAATACTTTTCTCAACTAGCCAGACTCACAGCTTCCAGGATCAGAACCCCTGTGCCCAAACCAAGTGAAGAACCTCTCAAGCCAAGGACAGGATAGAATCAAAAGTAGCCTGAGGCAAGCAAAAAAAAAAAAGGAACTCAGCCATTATATTTATGCTTTGTCAAAATATCAAAATGCTTGCTTCCAACCATCTGTTCTTGGGACACTTTTTTGCCAGCCTAAACCAAGTCTGTGATAAATCCCCTAATCACCCAGTGCATTTTTTTTTGCTGATGTCCAATCATGCCACTGTTTTTTTTTTTGCCAAGTGGCCATTATGTGAATAATATAAAACATATTTTTTTCTCTTCAGTCTGGTGTTTTTTATGCTTGAAAGAATACACTCAGAGAAGCAAACTTAATCATTATGATATTGGATTAAGCCATCAGCGCGTCCTGACAAAATTCAGCTGTGTGTCTCCTCCACCATCTTCCTTCTTGACCAAGATGGCTGGTTTGTTCCTCTCTATGTCCTTTTTGGGATCAAACTTGGGAGGAGGAGTGCGATTTTTCCTGTCAGTCTTGGACCTGTTCCTCACCACCTTCACAAAGCCAAAAAGTACCTCAAATAATCTATATATCATTAATTTTTACTGTACATGTGAAAAATGCAAGAATATAAAAAAAGTGGTTTAGCATCCACTTGAAAAAAACAAAAAGCTGGAATCCATATTAAAATCCCCTTTGAGAACATGTTGATATTCAACCTTCAAAACAAATTCATACATGAGAAATGTTAGCAAGATGGGAATAGCATATAAAAAATAAATTTATTAAAATTAAAATTTTGGAAATTTCTCCAAATTTCACACAAAAATTTCGCATTTTGCAAATTTATAAATATTCCAGGAGCGACCATTGCTCATGCATCCATTTGAAACTTCATGTGTTCCATAACTTTATAAGTTTGTCATAAGTATCTCATTGACTCAAATCAAAAGCAGGTATAAGTATCTAAATTTTAAAAATCTCTCGGAGAAAAATGATCTTGAGTGGATAGCATAGGGAACATGCTCAATTGAAAATAAATTACAATTACCACTGCAGTCAAATGAAAAATTGATGAAAATAATATGCAATTTTTGCAGCAGAAACTACACTTGAGTCTTCAGTCGAGAATTATAGGGAGCCCATCATAAAGAAGCTACTTCGGTCAATTAGCAGATCAATTAGCAATCTACTTTAAAATAAAAAATACAGAAATAATTCCCAGAGAATGGCACAGAACAGAAGCTAGTTTCAAAAATCTTCAAATGCCACAATGTCAAGTGAATAATTATTCATAATATAATTTTTTTTTATAGAAGTAAGAAAGTAATACTTGAGCACCCAAATCAAAGCAAAAAAGAAGCCATATTTTGACTCAATACCTTTTAAAATACTGGAAAAAAATTTCAAAATTAAAAAAAAATTTCCACAATATACTGTATAAAAATTACAAAGCAGAAGAAGGAACCTTGGAATGGATGGCACAAGACACACAGTACACAGAGTGTATAAATATCTTGGGCATAACATAGCCATCATAAACAGAAGCCTCGGCAATGTCCCGCACTCCAGCTGCCTCAACAATGCTTCGGATAACAAACTTCCTGATAGCTTTGTCCTTGGGCACAGCTCTGGCACAATTGGAGCAGCGCAAAATGCGCACATGGCCGCGCCCATGTTTCGACCTTCCGTGATTCCTCCTCTTTGTCGTCATTTTTTTTTTTTCCTGAGACTAATAATTCTTTCTATTTCCGAATATGCACCAGAATAATACCTACAATAACATGTGTCGTTTAAAACAGGTATCACTAAAGTCACCTATTCGTCGGTCAAAAGTTAGTTTTCCTGGATAAATTCACGTATGTATATTCGGAATAATGCACGTAATTCACTGGAAGAACTTTCACAAAACCTGGGATTCAATCAACAAGAATTCAAACGTGATTCTTCCAGAAACGGAAAAAAAAATGGAGAAAACCTGTCGAAAGTCGCCTGATTCATCATTCGAATATGCAACAAATTCGCGCTTTTCGTTCGTAGATGTCGCTCATCATAACTTTTTTCAAGATTTTAGGGTTGTTTTTAATAAATAAAGACGAAAATTCCAATTGTGTGTAACAGTAAACACTTTCTTTCCTGTGTGTTATCGTTAAAATATTACGAATCTAAAAAAAATTCTGAAGATACCTACTTCTGGGCTCGCGGGTAATATAGGTTATTGATCTGGGATCAGTCATAATTAATTTTTTCCCTGAACCCTCGAACCCCGAAATTAACGCAGGTGCTTCCTGGCATTCTCACAAAAATCGCAGAAACAATATGCAAATTTCTTGTGGCTCACATTCAAGCATCTGGGCTGTAAAATTGGGCCCAACTGGTCAGAAGTCGAATCTAGTCCACAATTTATTTACCCTCTAGAATTTTTCACGTTTTTAAAATAATTATACTCTTGAGATACAGGGATCAGATGGTTTTCTAAATGATAGTTATTTCATTTTTGGTGAAATCAGCCCTGGACACAATAAGGGGCTGGTTTGGATGGTACAGTAGTGTATTTTTTGTAATAAGTGGTCCACTATGAGATATAAATCCATTCTATTATTTTGTGGCAATTGATGAACCATCCACTACTTGGAAGAATAAATAAATGAATTAAAAATTCCTTTTTCTTACTAAAAAATGACAAATACAAATTAGAAGAGGTTTAGGTAATTTTTTCATAGATTATGTTGAATATTGTAAACAAATTCAAGAACCATACTAGTTCAGTTCAAAATTCCTTGAAAATTATTTTACTTGAAAATCTTGACCCAGAAAGTTTGCAGTGCCGCCTAAATACATGAAGTTTGCGGAAAAAGTTGCTGAAAAAATGCTATTATTCACGCTAATTTTCCTTGACAAAGTTTGGATTGAAGTTCTTCAACATTGAATCTAAGGTGATTTCAAGCAAGCAATTCCATCAAAAAATTTGTTTTCAGAAAAATTTTGATTCAGAAAGTGTTCAATGCGCCGGCCTATGAAATCATGGAGTAATTGTGTGTCCTTTTCCTAAAAAAATATTTTTTGCTGAGTAGGAGGTACTATATTCCCTTCAGAATATAATGAGTCATTTTTGTGCCATAATTTTGCTATGTCATTTCTCAGGAATATTTTACAAAGAAAGGGAGGATTTTCATCATCCTCTTGGCATGTTATTCAGACTGCTCAACTATAGAATAAAATAAAATAGCAGGACAAACAAAATGCATTTCATTTCCGTCCAAAAAGAAAATTATTTCAATCCCTTATTTTCTTCTCCTGGCCCCTCTTCTTTTTCATTCTGCCAGATTTCCTAATCCATCTTGCTCATTTCCTTTAAATTATATAGTACTCCATATATACGCATTCGGGGTGGAATACATTTTATTGTAGCAGAATTCAAAGAATTCCTGAAGGATCACAGTGAGTTTCAGATTCCATAAACTCACATTTTATTCTCAATGCAGCTTGCTTTAATGATCATGTACAGACTGAGAATAAAACCCAAAAAGGGTTCAAGAAAGTCCTAAACACTTCCATTAGAAAATTAGCACACTGAAAACATACCCCTGATTCACTGTCCTTCATTGAGTTGGAATAACATAACAAATATGTTGTCTCTTGCTATGAAAAAATTATGTCAATGATGTTTTTTCTCCCACTCCCACAGGTTTTCATTCATTGGAACATTTCACTCTAAAATGTTCACCATTTTTCAAAAAGGAATACCCTTACCAGTGCGTCTATCCATGATGGTCACTGCTGTCATTGTGATTAGGTTTGGGGTTAATGAGCTCCATCTTATTGATAAACAAATAAGACGCCCTTCTGAATTGTGCAAAAGCGTTATGAACCATGGACAGTTGAACAATGCATCAGAAGCATGGGGAAGCAATTTGTGCAAAATACACAAATATTCTGTGGAAGAAGCACGTCTATGTTTGAAAGACAGAAAAACGAGTGGTCTAGGCAATCATTTTGTATTTTCTGGCGATTCAAACCTCAGAGCTAAGACAATTAGATTTGCAGAAATATTGAAATTACAGATGATCGAAGGTGATTGGAAAAGACCCTTTGGCAACAAAACATGGAGTGGAGACCATGAGACTTCGGTTCATTTCTACTGGAATGTCTTACTTGAGAATTTTTCCTTCAAAAAGGTAAGCAAGTTAATTTTCTGGAATTAATATTCTTATGGAGAATTTAGCAGAAAAATGAATAAAAACAAGAGACTTGGGTCTGGCTACAACTTGGCTGATTTTACCCTATTTCAAAGTTGGTATAATTTGGTACCCACAAGAGCTCAAAACAGAATGAATGCCAAAATGGAGAGAAGAGAGTTGCCAGGAAAACTATCCATCAAGGATCAGAGAAAGTTCTTGGATGATAGCCTTTGAGTTTCTGAAATTTTAGTTACCAGCATGCAAAACCTTGGCGGTTTGAGAACTGGCGTAAGAACCAGAGTTACGTCTAGTTACCCGGAAGATGCACAAGAACGAGTTTTTGAAGAATATGTATTCTTGTTCTTAACAATATTAGGCATGACAAATTAAAGTTTCGCGGTTTTAATTCGCGACAGTTCTGTTATTTCACGTTTCCACAGAAACAGTTTTAGACGCCTCGGAATACATGTATTTCAGAAAATAATCTGGTTTCGGAGATAAAAAATGAGAAATAAAACCTTAAAACCGGAAAGAAGTACCAGAAAAAATTTCCAGTCCCACGCTTTGTTTGGAATGAATCATTAGTTTGGATATACTGTATGGAGGAATAATTTCGTTATTCAATCTCAACATCATCATTATAGGAAATGGTGAAAAATGTGGACTTTCTCACTTTTGGGACGTTCCTTTGGCTCATGGGAAAAGAATTGAATGTGACAGAAGAGGCCTGTTTTCCCAATTCAAACACCCCCATTTCAAAAAGGAGTCCTTATGCCAAATACTTTTCAAAGCTGGAAGAAACTGTCGTGGGTCGACTAGATGTCGCCCAAAGCAAACGAGATCGCACCATGAAGAAACTAGATGTCGCTCATGGTCGCGCCACGTTGCTTAGAAGCAACTGGAGTTCTCTAGAACTCACAAGAAGAAATAAATTATTTTTCCAAATGAATTATCCTTGACAACTGCATTATTTTGGTATTGAAATTATTTCTCATAATTAGTCAGGTCAATTTCTTGGGTGAACATTATTTCACTTTTATTTTGGGAGAACTACATCAGCGCATTCTAAGGGAGTGGAATACATTTTATTGCACCTGTTTTCTTCTACTGATATTCCACAGGGGAGGGAATAGTTCCATCTGACAACAACTCTTACTGAAATTACCAACAGTGCAGACTTATTGTTATTTATTTTATTTAGATCTGCTCTGTTTTGTCTGGAGTGTCCAAAACCAAATACTCCAAGTACTCAAGTGAAATAAAGTAAAATTGTTGTCTCTTTGGACTTTCTTTATTCTCTTCTCAACATATGACTTGGCATATACACCTTATGTAGTCTGCTCATTACAGATGGGTTTTGGGCCACTAAATTAACACAGAAGGATTCTGGTCCTTTTATATATTCCAGAAACCTTTCTGAGATCCTTGGAATGATTTCAACATTAGGATGTGAGAGAACATGTGAAAGACCATTTTCACTTAGCAACAGCAGTGTTTCTGAGGCTGCTTAATGCAGTATTCAAGCAGATAGCGTGCTGTACAAGCAGATAAAAGGTTTTGTAGATGTGACTTACATAATATGAGAAACAAGGTTGGGCTGTTTCTCAGGAATTATTCCTTGACAAGAAAAAGTTCTGAGAGTTTTTTAAATATAAATAAAATAGTTAATCAGCCAGCCTGTGACCTGGGCAAAGCTCTAGTTTAAAGTTGCTAATGCCTGATAAAATTTCAAGTATTTCATAGAAGATTTCCAAGTCTCAATAAAACGGTCAGTTAAAAGTCAGATCACTCAACAAACACAATTTGGAGTTCAGTGAACACTTTTCAGGTCTGATGCTAGGGTCACACTGACAACATACCCCTGATTCACAGTCCTTCAATAGGTTAGAATAACATACCAAAAATGGTGTCTATTGCTATGAAAAAATGATGTCAATGATGATTATCTTTCACTTATTCCACAGGATTTCATTCATTTGAATATTTCACTCTAAAATGTTCATCATTTTTCAAAAAGGAATACCCTTACCAGTGTGTCTATCCATGATGGTCACTGCTGTCGTTGTGATTAGGTTTGGGGTGCCTGAGCTACATGTTTTTGATACACAAACCACACGTCCGTCTAAATTGTGCAAAAGTGTTATGAACCATGGACAGTTGAACAATGCATCAACAGGATGGGGAAGCGATTTGTGCAAAATTCACAACTATTCTGTGGAAGAAGCCCGTCTATGTTTGAAAGACAGAAAGACAAGTGGTCTAGGCAATCATTTTGTATTTTCTGGCGATTCAAACTTGAGAGGAAAGACAATTAGATTTGCAGAAATATTGGGATTACAGATGATCGAAGGTGATTTGAACAGACGCTACGGCAACAAAACATGGAGTGGAGACCATGAGACTTCGGTTCATTTCTACTGGAATGTCTTATTTGTGAATTTTTCCTTCAAAAAGGTAAGGAAGTTACTTTTATGCAATGAATATTCTTATGGAGAATTTCGCAGAAAAATGAATAAAAACAAGAGACTTGGGTAAGGCTATAACTGGGCTAGATTTTACCCTATTTTAAAGTTGGTATAATTTGGTACCCACAAGAGCTCAAAACAGAATGAATGCCAAAATGGAGAGAAGAGAGTTGCCAGGAAAACTATCCAAGGATCAGAGAAAGTTCTTAGATGATAGCCTTTCAGTTCCTGAAATTTGAGTTACCATCATGCAAAACCTTGGAGGTTTGAGAATAGGCGTGAGAAAGTTAGAGTACTTCGGTTACCGGGAAGATGCACAAGAACTAGTTTTTGGAGAATATTTATTCTAGTTCTTAACAATTAGGCATGACAAATTAGAGTTTAACGGATTTGATTCGCGAGAATAATCTGGTCTCGGAGATAAAAAATAAGAAATAAAACCTTAACAACAGAAAGAAGTACCAGAAAAAATATCCAGTCCCACGCCTTGTTTGGAATAAATAATTAGTTTTGATATACGGAGGAATAATTTCGTTATTCAATCTCAACATCATCATTTATCCTTTACCACTTTTTACACCTGAAAGAGTGAAAACCCTGCAAGGAAACCGAGTAGAGGCTTCTAAACTTGCACTGTCTTCTCCGGACAAAAGGGTTAAGTTTGTGGGGGTAAAGTTTTTCCTCACCTTGTGCCAAATACTTTTCAAAGCTGGAAGAAACGTCAAAATTTCTGGATCAGCACTCGGGTATCAAAAACGCGGTTTTCTTTTTCCAAGAACCCGTGAGTCCCGAATGGGAAAAATTGAAATCAATGACTGATTTTTGGACCATGGTGGACAGAAGCTTAAACGTGGTGGGAAAGTATGGAAGGATTATTTTTTGGACCAGTCCTCATGAGTATGTAGCCCAGTTGATAAAGCGTTTCGGTTACAAGAAAGTACTTCGTGACCCTTACCATTTGCAAAGTAAGTACTTCTATGAAGAATTGAACACGTTCCTGAATTTCATGTGCAATGGAGTCAACAAGAACTTCCTGTCACGAGTAACAACAATGTTTCTTGCGCACACTTTTTAGAATTAACGTCGTACAAAAAAGCGCTAAATACTAAGCTTAACGTGAAAAACGCAGTTTATTACATACTTTTTAACAGTTTTTACTTTTCCGTTGAAGAAAGTCACGATTCAGGAATCCTCGACTCGTCGAGGGTTTTCGTCTCAATTTTATTATTTGAAGAGACTCATTTTGAAACAAAAAAAGTCTTTGAAAAGCCGGTTGTTGTCAACGATTTTTGCTCATAAAGTGATGAAACTTTGGAATCCACACCATACTGCATTGTAGTGTACAGCAGAAGTATCCACTACAATGCACGTTAGGTACCCGCGTGAGCTGGTGGTGGTGGTGGTGGTGGTGTACCACACCCTTTTTCACTTTTCCCACCCTGTGGTTCACAAAATATTCTGCACCTGGTGCAGGAAATTTTGAGATGCCAACAGTCGCCCTTTGGACTCGGCAAATATTCCAGTCGCTAAAATGTACACGGATGGAGTCATTTCGGAGTTTTCACGATTTTTCGTTTATCATTTTCTGTTTCTATAAGTTGCAAATATTACAGTAAATGATGTCCAGTGACGCGAATTTTCAGGCAGGGTTTATTCACTGACTTTCATCGGAACTGAATCAATAAGCGGGTCATTCGAGTGATGGAATCCTGATGCCATATTTCGAATTATTTTTTTTGGTATTTATATGCTGTCGGGGGTCGACTAGATGTCGCCCAATGAAAACAAGATTGTGCCACGTGATGACTAGATGTTGCTCACGGTTGCGCCACGTTGCTGAGAAGCAACTGGAACAATCAGGAACACAAAACTTATTTAATTTGGAATATTTCCTGAAGATGTCAAATCTTCATTTCATAATACATAAAAAAAATCCTTATCAAAAGGATTCTTAAAAAACACACTGAATCATCCTTTCAAAAGGATGAGAATCAAAAAGCCTGAATCACCCCCCTCCAAGAATCCAACCTTCAGGAACATTCCCACAGGAATGGACCTGAGGCTCAGGACTCAACACAATCATCATTCATGTTCCTGAAGTGACTGCAAACACTCATCCAAGAAAACTTTTATTCTGTGTTGATCAATTATTATTATTTGAGAATATATCATCAGAAGTTGAGGATCAACCTCAGGCTGCAAATGGTCAATTGTGGTGTTTCTTATTTCACAAAAACCAGTTTCTTTGTCAGGAGTCTAAGGACCCTCCACATATGTGGCACTATTTTGATTTTATGTTTTTAAAAAGGCTGAGCTGGTTTTTTTTTTTATTCATTGGACACATTTTCACCATATTACTTGCTGTCAGTTGATGAGGAGGGCCAATATTTTTTTTTAGAAATTTTAGTATTGGGTGATCCATTTTTTATAATCCTGATTCAATTTGTAAAACAATGTTTTTTCTTTTTTACAATGTTGACCAAGCTGTAGGAGAGTTCATTCCTTTTTGTTCATTTTGAGAAATTCTGGTCAAAAAAGTGCAAATTTTTTCTCATAAAAAAATCTTTGGAGGAACCTTTTTTGATATACTGAATGAATTGGAAAACCAAAATTCTTTGGCATTCATGAAACGTCTTGGATTTATATCGAGAAAATTTAGTTGATTCACCTCATGAATTGATAACATGTGAACAAAGTTAAAATTATTGCTACAATTCAACCAAAAAAGTATCAATTAGTCAAACACTTGTGGGCTAGACTTTCAAAATATTCATATTTAGCTTGAGTTGAGAGAAAAATTCTTGAAACTCATTCCATCGATTCACCTACTTTCAAAAGCAATTGAAACACTTAAACGGTGATCTTTCAATACATATAGCTCGTATCCACATCTTAATTCAAGTATAAATCTTCAACAATGAAGTTTTAACTTAGTCGCAAATAGTGCAGAATAAAACCTACAATCAATCAACATTTTTGACTTTCGAAACAGTTTCACAATTATTCTCCGGGATCCGCATTTTTGAACAAATATTCATGCATGAAGAGTTTCGTTTTGATGAGTAAACATCGAAAACTACATTTTCAAAAAAAAATTCATTTTCAATGAATGAAAACTACAACAAAAAATCCGTTAATGGATTGAATTTTGAACACCTGAAATTGATAAGTTGATTAATTTTTCGAAAATAATTAAAACCCGTATCCACTACGATTTTTATCTTTTCATAATCTGATTGTAATTTAGTAGTAGAATTTAGTAACCAGACTGTGACCTGAACACAGCACCTCAGACCACTTGGCCATCCTGACAAATTAATGTACTGGATGCATTTTTTTTCATGTAAGAAACAAACAGTAAACAAACAGGCCACAGACACACATTAGGCAACGTCCTTATTATTCCCCCCCAGACCCCTCTAGGATCCTACTGGTCATTCCTCCCACTGCAGACATTAAAATTTCCACTGGGGAGGACCTCGACCTGATCAAACTCACCAGAAAAAGGAGTCACTTGCATTCTGCATTTATGCAAACATTATTGAAGGAATTATAAACCAATGTTAAGGTATCCAAACCTCAGGCCACAAATGGCCAATTGTGTTTACCCTTTCCTTTACCATTCAACTAGTGATTGTAAATCTTTGCCAGAGAGGCCTCAGAGACCCTAACAGGTCATCAGAGACCCTGCCATTCAAAACTTCACAAGTGCATCATAACTTTAAAAGTTTATCAAAAGTATCTCATTGACTCAGTCCAAAATCAGGTAAAATGATCTGGATTTTGAAAATCCCTGGAACAAAATGATCGTAAGTCTTGCTCAATTGAAAATAAATTGAAATTTACCACAGCAGTAAAATGAACAATTCATAAAAATACAATATGACATTAGCGGCAGTATACCTACACTTGAGTCTTCAGTCTAGAATTTTAGGAAGCCCATAAAGAAGCTACTTTGGTCAATTAGCAGATCAAATAGCAATCTATTTCAAATAAAAAATAAAGAAAGAATTCCCACAGTGGCAGGTTTAAAAAATCTTTCAAGTGCAGAATTATTCATGAAATCATGATACAATTATGTTTTCACAGAAATAAGAAAGCAATACTTGAGCACCTAAATAAAAAGCCATCTTGAACCAATACTGTTTAAAGCCCTTAGAAAATATTAAAAAAATATTTTTCCAAAATATATGTACAAAATACAGAACAAATAAATGAACCTTCGAATGGATGGCACAAGACACACAGCTACGAAGAGTGTATAAATATCTTAGGCATAACATAGCCATCATAAACAGAGGCCTCAACAATGCTTTGGATAACAAACTTCCTGATACCTTTGTCCTTGGGCACAGCTCTGGCACAATTGGAGCAGCGCAAAATGCGCACATGGCCGCGCCCATGTTTCGACCTTCGGTGATTCCTCCTCTTCGTCGTCTTTTTTTTTTCCTGAGACTAATAATTCTTTCTGTTTCCGAATATGCACCAGAATAATACCTACAATAACATGTGTCGTTCAAAACACGTATCATCACTATAAAGTCACCTTGTTTTTGAAAAGTTATTTTTCTTGGATAAATTCACGTATATTCGGAATAATGCAAAAAATTCAATCGAAAAACTTACAGCAAACCTGGGATATATAATCATCACGAAGTGGAATGTTATTGGTCCAGAAACGGAAAAAAATGATGAAACCTGCCGGAAGTCGCCTGACTCGTCATTCGAATATGCAGCACATCCGCGCTTTTCGTTCGTAGATGTCGCTCATCATAACTATTTTCAAGATTTTCGGGTTGTTTTCAATAAATAAAGATGACGAAAATTCCAATTGTGTGTAACAGTAAATACTTTCTTTCCTGTGTGTTATTGTTAAAATATTACGAATAAAAACAATTTCTGAAGATACCTACTTCTGGGCTCGGGTAGTACAGGTTATTATTGATCTGGGATCAGTCATAATTAATTTTTTCCCTGAACCCTCTACCCCCGAAATTAACGCAGGTGCTTCCCGGCATTCTCACAAAAATCGCAGAAAAAAGATGCAAATTTCTTGGGGCTCACATTGAAGCATCAGGGCTGTAAAATTGGGGCACACTGGTCAGAAGTCGAATCTATAGTCCACAATTTATTTACCCTCTAGAATTTTTCACGTTCTTAAATTAATTATATACTCTTGAGATACAGGGATCAGATGGTTTTCTAAATGATAGTTATTTCATTTGTGGTGAAATCAGCCCAGGCCACAAGGGGCTGCTGGTTTGTATATAGTACTGTACAGCAGTACTGTATTTTCTTCATAAGTGGTCCACCATGAGATATATATATATATATATCCATTTGATTGTGGAAATTGATGAACCATCCACTACTTATTGGAACTTGGAAGCTATTCATTTTCTAGCTTTAAAAAAATTAAAGAGGTTTTGAGCAAGTTCAGTTCAAAAGTCCTCACAAATTATTTTCCATAAAAATCTTTACCCAGAAACTTTCCAGTGCAGCATAAATACATAAAGTTTGCTGAAAATGTTTCTGAAAAAAGGAAATTCACGCTTATTTTCCTCAACAAGGTGTGGATTGCAGTTCAACATTGCATCTAAGTGGATTTCCAGCTAGCAGTTCCATCAGAAAAATTGTCCTCAGAAAAATTTTGATCCAGAAAAGTCTACAATGCGCCTATGAAATCTTGTATAGTATCTCATCTCCGTCTTTTTCCCAATGAATATTTTTTTCTGAGTTGGAGGTAATTATTCCATTCAGAATATAATGAGTCCTGTTAGTCCCATCATTTTGAAATGTCATTTCTCAGGAATATTTCACAGAAAAAAGAGAATTTTGATCATCACCTTGGCATGTTATTGAGACTTCTTAACTATAAAATAAAATGAAATAGCAGGGAAAACAAAAATGCATTTCATTTCCCTCCAAAATGAAAATTAATTCAATCCCTCATTTTCTTTTCCTTGCCCCTCTTCTTTTTCATCCTGCCAAATTTCCTTATTTATCTTGCTCATTTCCTTTAAATTATACAACGCTCCATATACAGGCATTCTAGGGTGGTGGAATATATTTCATTGTACTTGTAAACTGACATTCCACGTCAGGGCAGGGAATAGTTCTCTCTGACACCAACTCTTTTTGAGATTACCAACAGTGTAGACTTGTTATTATTTTATTTTACGCCTGCTCTATTTTGTCTGGTGTGTCCAAAACCAAAAACTCCAAGTTCTCAGGCAAAAAAAAAAGTAGAAGTGCTGTCTCTCAGGACTTTCTTTAAGCTCTTCCCAACATATGACTTTTCATATGCAATACATATATATGCTCTGCTCCTTACAGAGGGTTTTGGGCCACTTTAATTAAAAGGGGAGGATTCTGGTGCTTTTATAAATTCCAGTAACCTTACTGACGTCCATATGGATTGATTGCAACATTAGGATGTGGGAGAACATGAGAATGACTAGTTTCTCTCAGCAACAGTGTTTCTGAGGCTGCATATAATATTCAAACAGGGTGTATAGACCAAGCAGATATTATATTTTGTAGATGTGGCATACATAATAAACAGAACTTTTTTCATGTCCTTGACAAGAAAAAGTTGTGAAGGTTTTTTAATTTTTATAAAATGCTTCATCTGCCAGACTGTGGCCTGGGCAAGGCCCTATAGTTCAAAGTAGATGCATTTCCTGATAAAATTTCAAGTATCTCAGATAAGATTTACAATAAGTAACAAAAACTGTCAGTTAAAATTCAGATCATGCAATAAACACAATTTGGAGTTCAGGGTAGACATTTGTGAGGTCTGTTTGGGCCAGAGTTTAAAGGTCAAATGTTTTAAAACTTGAGGAGAGAAAGCAAATAAAGGAAGATTTTGTCCTTTTGGACTTTTGCAGATTTCCAAGGAAGAGCGCTTGAAGCACATATGAATTAGAAATATTAGAATCATGAATATCTGTGCTGACTTGAGGTCAAACTTGCTCTCACAGAATTCCTGAAGGATTAGAGTGAGTTTCAAAGATTCCAACACCTCACATACTATATTTTGTTCTGGAAACTGCTGCCCTGCATGCTTGATCAGGTACAGACTGAGACTAAAACCCAGAAAGGGTTCAACAAAGTCCAAACACTTCCATTAGGAAATTAGCACACTGACAACATACCCCTGATTCACAGTCCTTCATTAAGTTAGAATAACATAACAAATATGTTGTCTATTGCTATGAAAAAAATTGTGTCAATGATGATTTTTCTCCCACTCCCACAGGATTTCATTCAATGGAACATTTCACTCTAAAATTTTCATAATTTTTAGAAAAATAATACCCTTACCAGTGTGTCTATCCATGATGGTCACTGCTGTCATTGTGATTAGGGTTTGGGGTTCCTGAGCTCAATCTTATTGATACACAAATAAGACGTCCTTCTGAATTGTGCAAAAGCGTTATGAACCATATGGACAGTTGAACAATGCATCAGCAGCATGGGGAAGCAATTTGTGCAAAATTCACAACTATTCTGTGGAAGAAGCACGTCTATGTTTGAAAGACAGAAAAGCAAGTGGTCTAGGCAATCATTTTGTATTTTCTGGCGATTCAAACCTCAGAAGAAGGACCATTGGATTTACAGAACTATTGGGATCAGAGTTGATTGATGGTGATTTTGAACCAACTTTTCAACAACAGAACATGGAGTGGAGACCATGAGACCTTGGTTCGTTTCTACTGGAACGTCTTATTTGAGGATTTTTCCTTCAAAAAGGTAAGGAAGTTACTTTTATGGAATTAATATTCTTATGGAGAATTTAGCAGAAAAATTAATAAAACAAGATAATTTGCTTGGGTTATGACTGGGGTGATTTCACCCTATTTTAAAGTTAGTATAATTTGATTCTTTTGCCAATATACTTTCATGTTTTGCAACTCTTCTCATGTGATAAACCCAAGAGCTCAAAATGGAATGAATGCAAGAACTGAGAGAAGAGAGTCACAAAAACTATCTTTCAAGGATCAGTGAAACTTCTTAGAAGATAGCCTTTGGGTTTCTCAAATTTTATTCATGATGCAAAACCTTGGATCGAGGTTCATGAATAGGTTTGAGAACTGGAGTTAAGCCCGGTTCTCACAAAGATGCACAAGGAAAATTTTTAGGAGTATACCATTTTTTGTTCTTTACAATTAGGCATGAACAATTACAATTTCACTATTTCAATTCATGACAATCCTGTTATTTCCCATTTCCACAACAACAACAAACAATTCAATCGAATAATTTTGTTATTCAATCTCCACATCATTATAGGCAATGGTGAAAAATGTGGACTTCCTCACTTTTGGGATGTTCCTTTGGCTCATCTCCAAAGATTTGAACTTGACAGAAGAGGCCTATTTTCCCAATTCAAACACCACCATTTCAAAACAGAATCCTTGTGGCAAATACTCTTCAAAGCTGGAAGAAACGTCGAAAATTCTGGATCAACACTCGGGCATCAAAAATGTGGTCTTCTTTTTGCAAGAACCCCTGAGTCCCAATTGGGAAAAATTGAAATCCATGACTGATTTTTGGACCATCTGGACAGAAGCGTAAAAGTGGTGGGAAAGTATGGACGGATTCTTTTTTGGACCAGTCCTCATGAGTATTTAGCCGAGTTGATAAAGCGTTTCGGTTACAAGAAAGTACTTTGTGACCCTTCCCATTTGAAACCCAAGTACTACGATGAAGAGTGGAACATGTTACTAAATTTCATGTGCAATGGCGTCAACAAGAACCTGGACAATTCTTATTTTTGTTACAAAGAACGCGTATATTTGCAAAAGAATCAAATTATACTAACTTTAAAGTAGGGTGGAATCACCCCAGTCATAACCCAAGCAAATTATCTTGTTTTATTCATTTTTTCTTATATTTTCCCACGAGAATATATGAATTGCATAGAGGTAACTTCCTTACCTTTTTGAAGGAAAAATCCTCAAATAAGACATTGCAGTAGAAACGAACCAAGGTCTCATGGTCTCCACTCCATGTTCTGCTGTTGAATAGTTGGTTCAAATCACCATCAATCAACTCTAATCCGGATAGTTCTGTAAATCTAATTGTCTTATCTCTGAGGTTTGAATCGCCAGAAAATACAAAATGATTGCCTAGACCACTTGTTTTTCTGTCTTTCAAACATAGACGGGCTTCTTCCACAGAATAGTTGTGAATTTTGCACAAATCACTTCCCCATGCTGTTGATGCATTGTTCAACTGTCCATGGTTCAAAACACTTTTGCACAATTTAGACGGACGTGTAGTTTGTGTATCAAAAACATGTAGCTCAGGCACCCCAAACCTAATCACAATGACAGCAGTGACCATCATGGATAGACACACTGGTAAGGGTATTCCTTTTTGAAAAATGATGAACATTTTAGAGTGAAATGTTCCAATATATGAATTGCATAAAGGTAACTTCCCTTACCTTTTTGAAGGAAAAATCCTCAAATCAGACATTCCAGTAGAAACGAACCAAGGTCTCATGGTCTCCATTCCATGTTCTGTTGTTGAAAAGTTGGTTCAAATCACCATCAATCAACTCTAATCCGGATAGTTCTGTAAATCTAATTGTCCTTCTTCTGAGGTTTGAATCACCAGAAAATACAAAAGTATTGCCTAGACCACTTCTTCATTGAACTAAAACTCATACAGAAACAGGCTGAAGACCTTGTGCTTTAAATAAACTTTTACTGCTGCTTTGTCTTCAATATTGGGGATGGGTGGGTGTATGCAACATGCTGTAGGATGTCCAGTTTTATCTTGTGGAGTGTTTTCTTTTTTGTTTTTGTCATTGGTTTGTGCTTTGATTCATGCTTTGAAGTGATTGAATGTCTTTGGGGGTAGGAACTTCTAACGTGCCCATTAAGGTATTCGTAAGAACTGATTTTCTTAGTTCACTTGTTTCGTTTAATTTCATAGTTCTTTCAATTGCTTGTTGTTGGAGCATTCGAGAAACCAAAATATTATTTTTCTCTGTTAGGGCTCTTTGAGCATCTGCAATAATTTTTAAGCTTGCTTGGATGTCCTTTTCCATTTCTGAAAGTTCTTCGATGTTGGATTCAAATTGACTAATCTGATGTCTGATGGCGTCAGCTCGTTTAGCGCTAGCGTTTGGAAGTTCGTTCCGGTATTTAATAATGTTTTTCCTCGTTTCATTAATAGTCCTTTGTAAATAGGCAGCTTGTTCTTGGGGTGTATACGTTAAGTATTCTGCTGGGAGGCTATTTACTTGATAATTCTCAGAAATGTTACCCGAGTTTTGTGATATAGGAGGTGGATTAGTTTCTTGTGGGGCTCCAATAGATATAAACAAATCTTGTGTTATCTGGGCGCTTTTAGGTATTTTTGACGGAACTTTAGTAGGTTGTATGGGTGGTGGATTATTTTCGGAAAGTGGAATTAGATCACCTGATGCTTCTGCTCCAGGTACTGACATTATTTTAGTTTATAGGGATATATATAATACAGGTCGTTATTCTTTAAGTCCTTGGGGATCCTTTTCTACCCTTTCACGGGTTTCGGCAACAGTTTCAAAATCTTCGGGTCTTTTTAATTTAAAAGTATGGGCTTGAGAACGACTTCTTTCAGCAGGAGGTACTTGCTCAGTCTGCTCAGGGTTACCGTAAGCAATTTTAAACAACTCTTCTACTAATTTACAATTATACTCGACCGCTTTCTGGGTACTGGTTTGTACAGTTTGGTTTAAATTTCCGTTAGTGTTTTTGTTATTTTCGTCCGACATAAATTAATGTCTGGATAGGCTTAGTTTTGGTGTATTTAGTAAATACAATGTTGCTAAAAATATACAAGTAGGTTTTTTACAGAAAGTAACCACACAAAATATATACACTCTCAACGTTTCTCTTATTCGTTACCTTTTATTTTTATTTTTCTGGTTTTTGCTATTTTTGTTTTTTAAATGTTTGTATAAAAACCTGAATTCCTTTTCGGCGACGTTCCCTTTTCCTGGCGAAGTCCCTTGATCCTTGATCCTCTTCTTAGCTGATTTTCTCTAATACAGCTCTTCGTCCTTCTTGACGGAATATCCGCTCACCTAGAGCTCTGAAGTCACTTAGACTTTTTCCTTTAATTCCACTCGTCACTTAGACTTTTTTCACTTTTCTCACTTTTGTCCGTCCTTTTTGCTACTTTTTGATTGCCTTCCACGTTAAGTGGAGTCTGAGATATTTGTCTGGTCTAACCAGCACTCACCCGGCGCAAAAAAGAAGTACCGACTGCGCCAATTTGTTGTCGTACGCTTATTGATTTTGCGGCTCACAGGCTAAAACCCTGGGTAT